CAAAAAAATTCAATGTTTGGATTGTTTTTTTTTTCCGTTTGATCTTGAAGAACAGTTGGTATATCAAGCAAAAAACAATGATACCAAAGAAAGAGCTAGATGCAAGTTTTGTGGGATTGTTATGATTTGTGGGTCTTATTCAGGTATGTCTACTATGTGTTGTCATATGAAAAAATGTAACAAAATAGATTTTTCTGTGTATGGATGAAAAAAAAAAAATAGACCAACTTGTTGCTCATGAAATGATTGTTGAAAGTGTGATTGCTCATGGATATCCATTTAAGATTGTTGAGGATGTTAAACTTAGAGCGTGTCATTCTTATTTGAATAATTATTTCAAATCCACTTGTAGGAATACTTGTAAGATTGATTGCTTGAAACTACAAAATAAAATGAAAGAGAAAGATAAATCTAGCTTAAAGAAAATTTCAAGTTAAATTTCTTTGACTGCTGATATGTGGACATCTTGTACTATTGATGGATGTCTTTGTTTAACTGCACATTTTATTGATGATGATTGGAAGTTACATAGTACAGTTTTGAATTTTCGAAATGTGCCACCATCACATATTGCATTTTTATTGTATAACAAGATATATGATTTACTGAAAGATTAGGGAATTGAGAAAAAATTTTTTAGCATTACTTTGGATAACGCTGGCAATATGGATAGCATGCAAAACCTTTTACGTCTTCATCTTGATCAACAAGGTGCATTGCTATGTCATGGGAAATTTTTTCATATTTGTTGTGTTGCTCATATATTGAATCTTATTATTCAAAAGGGTTTATCAACAATTAATGAACCTTTGAAGAAAGAAAGAGAAAGTGTAAATGTGTGAAAGGTTTTGAAGCAAGAAAGATAAAGTTTTTTGAATATGTAATTCAATCAAATTTGAATTATTCAAGAGGATTGTGGTTGGATGTGGTGACTAGGTGGAACTTTACCTATTTGACGTTAGATAATTTTTTTTTTTAATTTTTGTGAAGCTTTTGAGAAGTTGAGTTTGTTGGATGGAAATTACACTACACTTCTAAATTCTGAAGAATTTCTTTGGATTGATAAGGTTTCCAAGTTTTTGAATTTTTTTTTTTTTAAGATTAGCACTTTTGTTTTCAGGAAGAGACTATCCCACTAGTAATTTGTATTTTGAAATTGTACGACAAACTGAAACAAAGTATTCAAAATATGCTTGTGTCTGAAGACCTAGTCATGGTACTAATGGTAAAAGAGATGGACAATAAGTTTTATAAGTATTGGGATGATTACAATATGGTGTTATCTTTTGTAGTCATCCTTGATCCTCGTTTTAAGTTGCAAATTTTGCAATATCTTTTGCCAAAATTGGGTAGTGAATATGAAAACAAGTGTTTGGATCTTCTAGAAGAATTGAAACTACTTTTCAAGGAGTATTAGAATCAGAGTAATAGTCCTTCTTAATCATCTATTTCGGTTGCTGATAGTGATCAAAGTAGTCGAACAAAAGTTTATGAAGAAATAAGTCTAAGCTTAATATTTATTTTATTTTTAGCCAAAAGTTTAATATAAATTGCTTTAGTTATAAGATTATTACTTATTTCTTAGATAATAAGTAATTAATTTTTTTTTCTTTTAGTTTAATATACATTTGTTATTATAATTTGATATATGGACTTACTTTACTTTATTATTATAAGGATTTAAAAGTTATAACATTGGGTCTATTTCACATAGATCAGAGTTGGATATCTATTTAGATGAAGTAAGAAAATATTGTGAAAAGCAACTTGATGTTCTTGATTATTGGAAGAAACATAAATTTCGCTATCCTATCCTTTCACTCATGGCCAAGGATATATTAAATATTCCAATTATCAAAGTTGCTTCTAAATTAGCATTTAGTATAGATGGTAAAGTTATCAATAAATGGAGAAATTGTCTTAGGTCCCATAATGCATAAATATTTATTATCACTCATAATTGGTTGTATAGATACGATGCGATAAATAATTAAGATGATAAGATTTTATTGTCATTAACTATATTTTTATCGAGTTCTTTTTAATAATTATATGATTATTTTTATATATTTTATTAGATAAAGAAGAAGATGAAATATTAGAATTGGGAGGACTTTAGTAATGCATTTGTTGTCTTGTGGAAGAGGATTAATAGTTTTTTTTACAATGTATGTTGATATTTTATTTTATAATGCATTTTTTTGTTTATAAAAAAAATTAAGAATTTTTTATTAACAATAATTGTGTTACTTTGATTGTAATTTGCAGTGTCAAATTTTAGATGTTTGGGTGACTTGACCTTGATGATAATACATTATTCTTAGGAATTTGAAAACTTTGGTTATTTGATTTTAGGAACTGAAGAACATCTTTTATTTTATTATATTTGTTTGGATATTGTGTTGTTTAATTTAATTATTTAACTTTTCTCATTTTTATATTTTAATTTTAAAATAATTATTTTAATTTATAAAATAATGTTTTTTATTTTCAAGTAAAATTAATCTTTGATATAATATGTTTGAAACTTTAAAAAATATAATTTAAAGTTAAATTATTTTGTTAATAATGATATTAATGTTTTTCTTAAAACATCAAATTAAATCAAATATTAAAATTATGATATAATTTTTTATATTTGAATTATCAACATATTAAAATTAAAATTTAATTATATGGAATAAGTATAATGAATCAATGATATATTGTAAATGATTATTTTATAATGAAATTAAATTTTAAATTAATGATATTATTTTTTGTTTTATATTGATAATTATTGTAAATATAATGAGATGATAGTATTAAAAATCGTTAGATATAAACATTGAGTGTGTTTCAAATTAAATTTATTTTATAATCTAAATTAAAAATTTAATTTTGTTGATTATTATTGATATAATTATTTAATAATTATCAATAATAACATTTTTAAAATTTAAAATTTTTAGTAAGAAATTATTTTTTTCTTATTTATTTAAAAAATCATATAATTATGGTTTTGGTTTTCTTGGGTTATAATTCGGTTTTTTTATGACTTTTATATTAAATCTATCTCGAATTCAAATTATTGCAGATTCGAATTGTATTGTTTTCAAGCTTTTCTGAATTCGAATTTTTTTCAAGTTTAGATTAATTTAGGATCGAATTTTTTTGGATTTCGGTCTTTTATTTATCAACTCGGGTTGATCCGAGTTGGGTCAAATTTATTCGGAAAGATTTTTGGGGTTGGATTGGTTTTGCCACCTCTATCGATTTTAAAGCCCAATATTAAATTACAGTTCAAGGCTCAAGAATGTTTGAAAGATCCTAACTTTGTTTATACTTTGTAAGTAATGAAAAGATTAGATGCCACCCAATCTTAGAACCAAGGATTTCTAAAAGCGAATGATGTGTATGAATACCTTTAGATGTTGAATATCTATTCCATGAAATGTTATTCTCTTAGAAGAATTTAATGACTTTAGTATTCTTTTGTTAGTGATTATGAAAAGGTAGATTTATTAAAGTAGATCAAATAAGGATCATGATAATAATGATGAAGCCCATGAATTTCCGTATTCTAATAGCAAGTAATTTGATTAGCGTGAATTTTAATGTTATATGTAATGCTTATTCGATTTGATCAATATATGTAATGCTTGGTGGAATTGATTAGCTTGTTTTTATGTAATGCTATAATTTTTGGTTAATTTATCTAATGCTATATTTATATTTTATATGTTCATTTTTCTTTTGCGTGTTTGGGAGATTTACCTACTTTTTTGTTTTTTGTGAAAGTTAAAATGGGATGTCATGGAAAGGGCTCCAAATCTTGAGGTGGATATGCAGGGCATCAATGAGAACTGATTAACCTATCGGGTCAACTTCTTTCGTCGTTCCAATCCACCTAGCCTGCAGTCAATCAACCGTCCATTCTGGAACCACCGACTGGGCACTATGCAGATGAAAGTCATAATGAATAAGGGGTGGGACAAGTCAGACGACTAAGAAAAAACAAAGACTTACCAATGCTTGCAAATTCAGGGAAGAGAGTGTGAATTACTCCCCTCGAAGAATGGTATGCCATAAATTTGTTTCTTAATATTATTTTCACTTTTGAATGTAGTTTCTAAACAATTTGCTTTAGTTTAACTAATCTTAATATCATTTGCTTGTGGATAGTTATTTTGAGTGATCATCGATTACTTCAACAATTTCAAGTATGATGGTAAGGTAATTTTATTAGTCAATGGCTGGCAAGGAATAAAGTTCCTTCGACATTAAGGAGCTAACGTGGGGTAGATTTCATATGTGAATTTTAATAGTATATATATTCATTGCCTAAAGTTGATTTATTTGAATGAAAAGCTCTTTCGACTATCAAGGACTTATTGCGTATCAATATTTTATATTACGAAAAATGGGAGTAGGCTAAGTCGAAAACTTCTAAGTTTCAATGTGTATGGAAAAATATTTTCAAAAATTGGTTCTGATCACTTGTTGGCATATAAAAGGAAAACAATAATGAAAAGGTATGGAGTTGATAATATTATATACCACAGAGGGAAGGACTGGAAATGGATCATAATTCCTATTGTAGAAGGATGGAGTGGAAATGAATCATAATTCCTATTTGGGGTACATTTATTGATAATGTATGAAAAACTTATACATGGCAAAACAAATCCAAGCAAAAGCAAATTGTCGAACGCAAAAAAAATGAAGCATTACACTGATGATTCAATTTCATTTTCTAGTCATCCAAAAAGAATGGTGTGATGTATTTTCTGCAGGCTTTCTTTCATCTCATTTTAATTTTATATAATTTTCATTGTTATATATTTCACTGACTACTATTTTAAATGAACACAATCAATTGATTTGCAATGACCGGTCTCATTTCAAGAAGTGTTTAACCACACTCAAGGATGTTTTGGAGGACTCGGTAATTTCATGGATAATAAGTTCAAAGCTGTCAGTCTACATGACTTCGCAATGATTTTAATCTCTAAAAATCATTAAAATAGATAGAAATTAAAAGTTTTACTCCACAATTTCATTGAAAGTTGAAATACAAATTTACAACAGTGCCGAGGTGATCTCCAGCTGTAGGCACACGTACGGATAAATAAACAGATATGTGAAAGAAAAATCATACACGATCCAAGCAATACCCCACTAGGCGACTACCGATTCTGCTGCATTCTGGGTTGCCTTGAAATCTTTCACACTGTTTAAAAGGTGAAACGATGCTTTCTCAAAATTAACAAATCCCATCCACCAGAAGTTATGGCCATCGACCGTAACAATCTGCATATAGCTCTCTGGTGGATTTTCTTTCATGACCACAGGATTAACCGCGCCTATATTCGCCAGAGGTATCATAACCTGTTCAAGACACATATTGTTGGTCAGTACATTACCAACTAATGCAAAATGTAATTAAATTTTGTTAGTTAATTTGGTGTTTATGAAGCAATAGTTATTTGTTTAATTTGCAATTCATCATATGTAGAACTCTCTTCTCTAACCACGAATACACTTTCAGTAATGCCTGATTGCCTATAGCAGTTGTCCATGTATAATTGGTTCGGTACATCTAACTCATCATCATGTCTGTTTATCATTAATCTTTAAAACAAATACATATATCTGACCTTATAGTAGCTCCAAGTCTCCTGACCTGAAGGAGCAGTGAAGGACAAGGGACGATCACTGCAGAAAGCTACCCGAGCATTTGATAAATAAAATGTTCCCGCAACAGGGCCAGTTGTTGTGGAGAGGTAACAGGCGAATGTCTTCTTCAACTTTTCATTTGTATCAGTTGCGAAAATCTGCTTGAAGAGAGACTCAAACCCACCCTCTGTTATTGCTTTTGCTGTCAGGTTTACTTTACCCCATGCAGCTTCCGACACAGACGGCCCAGTTTTAACTGTAATTTCATGTATAGATGCATTTATGTAAATATCTGATCATGTAATTTGAACATTTGTTAAGGTTTCAATAACAAATGTCCATGAAAATTTAATTGAGATTGATCTAATATGTGGACACATTCAGATATCAGATGACCATCCGGAAGAGATAATTGAACTTTAAGAGTTTGCAATATCAACTTACGGTTGTGCCAGATGTTGCGTGCTACGGTCTCGGCCTTCCTACTCCAGGTATTGAACATGTTAATCACAGGTTCAAAAGGATTGTGGCTTGGTTTTTCTGCAGGGGAATAAACAAGGTAGGGCAGCTCATAGATTTGCTGGTGGTCAGTGGCACTCCATAAAGCTGCCTTCTGGTTGTCTGGGTGGGCAGTAGGGGCTGCTGGCGGTCCCATGATGTGCGTACCCCATTTCTTAGTATCTTCTTCCGACGGAGGAGAAGAAGAAGATTGTGGTGCCTGTGTAGAATGTTGATCAGGTTGTGATGCATCTGTTGTGGTAGATGTTGGGGATTGTTCATGGGATCCTTCTACTTTAGTGGTCTCTTCAGGTTTTGCATTCATGGTCTCGAATGGCAAGTGGAGATTTATGGCAAAAATGGAAAATCTTTTGGTGGATGATTGGATTGTTTCCTAGAAGCTGATAGTTGAAATATGTAGAGGAGAATTCAAGAGATGTGAATGTAAAATACACGTTTTATTTCCTTTGCATTGAAATATTGTCTAGAAAAAGCAACCTTTTAGATTGCAAGAACGCCCTTAGCACCAAGGTCTTTCTAGAAGGGGTATTTAGCTGAAGAGGTTTGCAAATTCAATCTCAACTTTGGCTTCCTGAATGGTTGTTATTATTATCGGGGGAAAAATCAAAGAAGTTTCCAGTGTGGTCGCTTGTTTTCTATAAACAGGGAATTGTTTTGTACGTTATACTGATCTATACCCCAGGCATGTGAATTAAATTAACCCACCCTATAATCAAACAGATCGTTCCCAGAGAACTCTGGTAGAATTAATCGGCTCTGTTTTGGGATCACAATTTCTGATTAATTGTTTCTGCTGCTGATGGAACAATCATCTGTACAACTACAAGATGGGTCATACGTGGGTCCTGCTGGTTTCAATGAACGGTGCCTGACTTAAATGATAGATCGGCTCTTTTGAGGATTAACACGTTGGAGCAGGAATTCATGGCATCTGGCCAAGCTGTGCTCAAGCGGTTGGTTGGAATGATCTAAAATCATCCAGATATATCACACTGCTATAACATATCAATTCTGGTGTATTTCGTTGGTCGAAAAGAAACAAAGAAAGAAAGGAAAAAAAAAAAAAGCTAAACTAAAATACTTCAAAAAAAAATTCACTGCCACATGGGTTAATGTTCTCTCTTTCGCTTTGCCGTGATACGTTCTTCATATTTTACTCTGAACCCTTTAAATTAAGATAAAGTTTAGTATTAGTTTTAAAATTATTATGATAATTTAATCTTTAAGATGATTTTATTATTAATATGATTTTATCATTTATGATATGAAATAATTTTATTTGATTAAAAATTAAATATTATTTTATTTAAAAATATAAAAATAAATATGCATATTATAATAGCTATACAAATGAGTGATTTCAATGATATTTAAAAACAATAATTTATAAAATATTATTAATATTTTATTTATTTTATAATAAAATTATTTAATTAAAAATATATTTATTGATAGATAAAATTGTTTTTATAGTATAAAATATGTAAAAATATTTGAGTTAGAAAATAAAATTAATTTATTAAAATCAAAAGATTATATTTATTTAAATTAAAAGAAAATATATAAATTATTTTTGAATTTTTATAATAAATATTAGTTTAAATTTATAAAATTATAATATAAAATAATTATAATTAATTTTAAGAAGAAGTAATTTTTTAATAGATCATATTAAAAAAATAATCTAATTACTTTTGATGATATAAAATCACCACTAAATAAAATTATTAAGTGATTATTAAACATAATAATCTAATTATTATGCTTAAATCATTTTTAATAATCACTCACATCAAATATTACCTTAAGAACAACTTCTGTTTTCTATTTAGAAATTTAAGAATAGGATAAAATCTTGTTGTACAAGACGATAAGAAAATCAGATTGGCCAAAGCCATAAAAAAAACGTTAATCTGAAGTTTGAATCTTTGAAATTGGTATTTTGGTTGGGGGCACTTTCAGTCCTCTTCCATTTAGTTCCCGTTTGCTGTTTTGGCGCACTGGTTAGAACAAGTTGTTTTCTAAACTCACGAAAAGTGAGAGAACCTTCCTACTAAATTTCCACTTCACCTGCGTCCCCTACCGTGTTGTACAGAGGCCTTGGCTTACGCCAGCCATTAGAGTCTCAATACTCCAAGCAATGACTTACCACCATCACCATATTTCTCTGGAGCCCCCACCGTCCCATAAAGTTTAGTATTATTTTCGTTCGATTAGATGTCTTATTGCTTCAGGGCAGGACCAAGTAAGTCCACAGAAGAAGCTAATGGATTAATAATAAGATGAATGCTTAATTTAGAATGTCAAGTTTTGAGCCATTTCTCAATTAAAGATATTTTTTAATTTAATTTAATTAAAAATTAAATGTTTTTGAATATGCTTAAATTAAAATCTGTAACAAATATAAGTTACATATATCTTACACTAAACACTAGTCAATATTAAATTTTCATTTGTTATTTTCAAAAAAACTAGTAGGCTATTGTGCATTGCTATAGGCAGAGACAGATCTAAGATTTTTCTTTAGTGGGAACAAATTTATTATATAATATATTTATTTAAATTTTTTATTTAATATAAATGTAATGTTTTCTAAATGTAAAACAGAGTTTTAATACAAAAATTTGAAATATTTTTTTATAATATCAAATATAAAAAAAATTTATATAGAAATTAACACAAATATAACAAAAACTTATAATATTAAATGCATAAAAAATTTAAACATCAAATAAACACAAACACATAATATTATCATTTTTCAAATGAAAAATGTACTATATAATTGAGTAAAATAGTTTTCATAAGTAGAATGTCTAGGAATTTTTTTTCATTGTCAATATTAAAAGATATATAATTTTATTTAATTTTAGATATTTCTTTTAAAATTCACATTCTTTTACTAATGATATTTATTTTTGACTAACTTAAATCAAATACTAATTTAATTTCTCTATAATTTTTAAGGCATAAGATAAGATACGAAAATACAAAATAGGACTAATAACAAGCTACTTTTATATATATTTTAACTTTTTTAATAATTTTAAAATTGATACTACTTTTTTTTTTTTTTTCAAAATTTCAGATTTTATTAAATTACATCTTTACATGTTTGTTAGGTTACATCACTACAACATTATTTTACATCAAATACATATTATTATAAATTCTAAATAATGTTAAAGTTATAATATTTTTAATCCTCCCCTTTTATATTTTTTCTTTTTCAATTTAGTAGGAGCAAAATGTAAAAATATTAAAACTTTTGTCTAATATCAAAATATATTTAAAAAGGTTATAGGATTTCAGTTGGGCAGTTACCCCCACTACCCTCATTATAAATTCTTCCCTAACTGCAAGGATTCAATTTCAAATGTAAAATAGTAGTATAATTTTTTTGTCCAATTTTATATTAACTAACATACTATAAACTATATATGAAACCACAACAAATGTTTGAAAGCTTAACTAACGGTAAATAGCTCCAACAGGAAAAAGATGCATGAAGTATGAAATCTGGTTTTACAAAATTATTCCAGGAGCACAATACCAAATGCATACAGTATGAAACTAAATACATTTGGTGTTGTGTTAATCGAAATTAAGCTGCCGCTTGTAATACATGATCCTATATATGCTAGTATATTCATGCAAGTATTTAAAGCTTAACTCACATTATAAATATAAGCTGAGAACAATTATTATAGCAATTAAAAACATGTTAGTGTAAAAAGCTTATGTCAAAATCTTACCATAATTTTACTATATATAGCCACATGTTTTAAGTAGAAGTTTATTAGTTATTATCTAAAAAATGACTACTTTTCAAATATAGTGAAATTGAGACCTGAAAGTTTAGTGAAATAGCTTAATTACTTAAAAAAGGCAAGCTAAAAATTACTTGTTGAGCTGAAAGTTACTTGAAAAAAACAAATTACCTAAGGCAATATTTTCGCATTACTAAAAACAATAGGTTATTTGAAAATTTAGCAAATGAGCTTAATAACAAATGAAATAAAAAAAAAAAAGCAATGATCCACACAAAACAATATTTTCACACAAATCAACATCATTACAGGTGCATCCTAAAAGCTATAAAAGTAAAAAAGCAGTACTATAAAATTTTCATAAACACCACTAACATGCATAAATCATTATAAGAATTTGTAAATAATTCATGTCTAAATTTAAATTTAAATTGATAATACTTAATAAAGTTTGAAGAACAAAAAAAAAATTCATTTGCATTAATCATTCCATGCTGACATGCAATCTCAAAAAAAAAAAAAAAATCAATAAGCTAAACAAATGTTAATATAAAACTCTAATCTATATAAATTACAAAATATATTTTATAATTATAAATCCTCTTTGTTAAACATGTTTAATTTTAAAAAACTAAACAAATGTTAATGTAAAACTCTAATCTATATAAATTACAAAATATGCTTTATAATTATAAATCATCTTTGTTAAACATGTTTAATTTTAAAGTATTATACCTAAGAAAAATGGGAAAGAAATTAAATAAAAAGCTTTAAAATTATCTAACTATACATTGTAGGTTGCAACACAACAGAAACACGATAATGCGAGTGCAAGGGGGAAAAATGGGTTGGAACAATACTTTTCATGAACTTCAAGCTCTGTAGAGCTCAAATGTGTGCAAAAGGACCTGTTCTAAATGAGAATCCAATGTTTGCTGAAAGTTCCAGAAATACATAGCATCAAGACCTGATAATAAGGAACATAATGTTCTTCTTTGCAAAACAATACATTATTTGTTATTGCAAAAGAATGGGTATAAGAAAAATAATTTTTATTTGAAACCAATTCTGATTGCGTTGAATTTGTGCTAGATTTTCTTATACCAATCTAATTGATCAAAGAAGAGCTTATTTTTCTTGACAAATTAACAATCTAATTGACTAAAGAAGAACTAATTGATCAACTTGGCCAACTAGTACCCTTAAAAAACCTTTGCCAAATATATAGATGAATTAAATTAAATAAGTTCCTTAACATTTAACTTCAAATATGGAAAATATTCATATAAAAAAAAAGAAAAATACAATAAAATTAATTAACATTATATGACTAAAATATAGACTTGCATTAAATTTTAACCTAAGTCTGCATTAAGCATTCAAATTAACAATTTCATAAAAAATCAAGATTAATGAACAAAAATCAAAACTTTAAAAGAAAGTTTTGGAATCTAATCTAACCCCTTAGCAAAAACGAAATCATTTTCACAAACAAAATTTACAAACCTAACAAATTCTCCTAAAGTATGTGTTAAAACATCCCAATAAGCAAAACTAATCCAAAACTCATCCAACAATCTAAAGAAAAAAAATGAAAAATAGATAATATTTAATTTATCAACTTAGGCAACTAATACACAAAAAATTAACATAGCCAACTATATAAATGAATTAAATTAAATATTCTCCTTAGAGGTTATCTTAAAATATAAAAAATAGTCATATAAAAACAAGGCAAATACAAAAAAAAAAAATTTAAAAAGAAGGAGAAAGAAAAAAGATAATTGTCCTTTTTAATGCAGGTGTCAATGACAGGAGCTTCTCTATCTTTCTTCCCCTTCCTTTTTATCTGAATCTCCTTTTTTTTTTTTCTTTTTATTCTTTCCACTAGCAACACTTTCTTTTCAAAGTAATGGCTTACACCAATTCTGTTTTCTTTTCAAACAAATAGTAACAGTTTCCACCAATTCTCCTTTCTTTTTAATGGAGTAATAACATCTACCAACTATTTTTTCTATTAAAAAAATATATCTTTTCAAATAAATTTTCAATAAGAGAAATAAACTTTTTAAAAAAATTAATGTATGAATAATTTTAAAAAATAAATTACTTATTTTCTTCATTCAATAGTTAGATTTCCGTAGAAATTTTTAAAATAGCAATCTAATCTAATCTAACTATATACTATTTTTATTTGAACAATTTTGAAATTGTGACCCATATTACTTTTTTTTAAAGCTTGACTTTTTAAGTTTCAATTTTCATGCATTTGGCTAACAAATGGTTTTAAGCTACTTTTTAAAATTCTT